GCATGTGGAATCTTGTATGAGGATGGCCTCAGGCATCATTCCAGCTGCGCTAACTGACGCTAACTGACCCACTGGGGCTTGGTCACAGAGGAGTGAGAGACAATGAGCGCCAGGCATTATAAGTACATTATTGGCCGTGAAGTTAGTAATAAATCCACAGGTGTGTGCTAATGAGAAAGATAATGAATGTAACAGATGATAATGGGTGAAGACAATAAGAAAAAGAAAAATGAAAAGAGAAAAAGAGAAAAAAAAGGAGAAACAATAAAGAAGTATAAAATATACATTTTATTGAGAATATGATCATAACAGTAAGGAGAAAAATTGAGTGGAAAAGAAAAAAGAAAAATGATGATGGGAAATTTGTGATAAAAAAACAAGCAAAAACAAAAGTTAAAATAAAAATTAAAAAAATGGTAAATATTGGATAAAAATAAAATATAAAAATAAAGAGAAGTGAATATAAAGATGGAAATGAAGTGAAAATTAATGTGGTGTGCACAGAAATTGAAAAGCACGAGAGATGCTGCAAATAAAGAAGTGAAAAAGTGTACAGTGTATATGAAAAAAGAAGAGTATATTTACAATTATGGAAAAGTTAAATAAAAAACAAAACAGTAATATAAAAATTGAAAGTAAAGAAAAATATAAACTAAGCTTAAAAAATTATGAGCGAGTTAAAGGCTAGTTGTCCTAATCTGGGATGTCATATAGGACAAAAATGGAACAAAAAAAATAATAAAAAATGGTAGAGAGCAATTACAAAAGGAAATTACTCAATCATAGCAGTGGGTAACATCCCACTCGAAGTTAAATCCATTGGGGATCTGTGTCTCAAGTTTGAAGATCCAGTATACTTCTCTTTTACAGAGTAGGGAAAACCGATTGCCGCCTCTACTGGAAGGATCTATAGGTTCAATAACTTGAGAGAGCTGGTATCAGAGTTATGGTTCCTTCTAAAATGTCTTGAGACTTTAGTCTCTTTGCTGGTCCTGATGTTTCACAGATAATCACGCATCCTATCACACAGGTGTCTTGTTGTTCGACCTACGTATTGTACATTGCATTTAAGGCAAGTGATCACGTAAATGATATATCATGTTTGGCAATTCATGAGTTGTTTAATAGTATAATTTTTGACATTAGTGCAAGATGTGATGTTATGTGAGTTCCTGACAAATCTGCAGCTAGAGCAGCGGGTGGTATTGCATTTAAAAAAGCCTGTAGTGTGTAACCAGGTGTGTTTAGGTCGATTAAAGTAAAACAGACTGGGAAAAATTATATTGTCAATGGTTTTTGCTCTCCTGGCCACAAACTTCACTTTTTCAGATAGAATAATCCAGGTCACCATATAATAACGGTAAATAAAGAGAGATAATACACGTGATATCATTGAATTGATTGCTATACCGTGTTGAAAAAAAATCAAAGATTTGGTGGTTGCTTCAGTCTTCCTCTTGGGAATAGATATTCCTCTGTCCTTAAGGAGGGATTCTCTAGGTGTATTCTTCTGTAAATAAGCCTGGTTCACCTTGTGTGTGTTATATACCCCTGTTCTAGAAACATATTTTTCATCTGTTGCGCCTCCACTTCACAATCCTCTGAAAGAGAACAATTTCTCTTCAGGCGTATGAACTGACCTTTAGGGATAGCTTGTATCACATGATGAGGATGGCTACTAGAAGCATGTAGTATCACATTCTTTGACATAGGTTTGTGAAACGCAGTGATTGTGACTTTCTGTGATTGAGGAGGACCCCATAATGTCCAAATAGTTTAGAACATGCCTTTGTTCTTCTCCTGTGAATCCCAGGTTGAATGTATTGGTATTTAAATACTTCAGGAAATCTTCAAATACCAAAACCTCTATCAACAATAAAAATCAGATCATCAATGTAGCAAAAATATGCTTTTATTTGATGTCTGTGAGGGTTGGACATTCATTAATGAACTGTTCCTCCCAACTCCCCATATAGAGATTGATATATGTGGGTGCAAATCTAGCTCTCATAGAAGCTCCCTGTTTCTGCAAATAGAACTTGTGATCAAATAGAAAGAAAGTATGGTTTAGCAGAAAAGAGACACTTTCAAGAATAAACCATTTTAACTCTGAGTCATATTCTGTATAGAGGTCCATATGATATCTCAGAGCCTGAAGGCCTAGGACATGTAGAATACAGGAGTATAAAGACCTAACATCACAGGTCAACCACTTGAGATCATCGGTCCAAGGAAAATATTCTAAAACTTGAATTATATGTTTGGTATCTCGAACATAGGATGGTACACGAGTCACCATGAGTCACCAGACTATCTATGAGATTTCGTATTGGGTTCCCCCAGGGACCCTATGCTGGCAACGATGGGTCTCCCTTTTGGGGGGGGGGGTCATTTTTGTGCACCTTTGATAAGTGATAAAACAACAGTGTGAAGTGTGACAGGAGATCTAGGTACAAGTTTCTTTGCTTCCTCCAATTTTAAAATGTTTAAACAGTTTCTTCTACAATGCATTCAAGTTGATGTTGGTATTGAAGAGTACTATCTGTCGTAAGGGGATCATATACTGAAGTATCAGACAACTGTCTCAAAGCCTTGCGATGATAATCGATGGTATTGAGTATAACTACCTCTCCCCCATTGCCCGCTTCTTTGATGGTAATGTGCGTGTCATCCTTCAGCGATTGTAAGATATTTCTTTCTTATCTGTTTAAGTTAGATCTGATATATTGTGCAGATCCTACAACTTCTGGAGCTGAAGCAACCTGATCCTGCTCAACTAATTTCTGAAAAAGGTCCAGGTTTTCTCTTTGGACTGTATTGGATAGAAGTCAGACTGTAGAATTCAAATCATTTCAAGACATTCTGGGACCTTGATCTTATCAGAGACCCGGATCCCTGAAAAACCCTGGTCATCAAGAGAACTCATATCATATATAAGACAAAAGTCTTAAAAATCAAATTCATTTTGGTGGTGATCCAAATGGTCTGTAACATGTGAGAAATTTGATACTTCTGTGTGCAAAAAGTCCTTCTTTAATGTAAGACGTCTGGGAAAGTTGAAAGCAAAATTAAACCACTTGATAAAATGGCCTCCTCTACCAATGACAATTTGTAATCTGAATAGTTGAGAACAAGATTAACTGGAGAATGACTAAGCTTTCTGGGTCTCTGATACTTTTTTTTTCTTCTCATTTCCTTTTGGATGGCCGTTTTTGACCCCCTTTGTTCTTTTGGGATAATACTTTTTTGGCTGGGATGAGTTACTATCTTCCGAGAAAGTATTTTTTTTCTCTTTCTGTCCTTGGTTCCAGACACGGAGGGAGAAGAAGAGGCAGCGGTGGCCTCTCCCTCTTTTCGGAGTAGTTACTGGTGTAGAAGATGTTCTCAAGATAGAGTGTGTAAATTTCCCGAAATACTGGATCTGTTTTGTAGTCCTGGGGTCACCCATTTGTAGACTGTGCCCTCCTCATAATTTGACTTGTCTCTGAGAAATTTGGTTATTTTGTTGTGCATTATTTCTTCTAAAGAATTTAAGGACTTTGTCATCTTATTCTCTCTTGTTTGAAAGTCTGATAAGCCAGAGAACTTTTCTAGATTGTGCTGACACTGTGTGACTTCATTAGTTAACATCTCAAGATGTTGTTTTTTGTGTTCTATAATGAGTCTCATCAATTTAAATGTGGACTCATCTAGGACCTGGGTCCACTGGGACCTAAAGGTTTCATCCTCAATTTGGAAAGATGGGAACTTTTTTAACCTCAGACCCCTCGGGATTCTCTTTTCTTTCAGATACTCCTTGAAAGATGTGATGTCCCACTATATTATTATTATTATACAGTGTTTATATAGCGCCAAAAGGTTTGCTCAGCGCTGTACATTAAAGTGGTGGGACAGTACATGAGACAATACAATAACAATACAATACACGAGGGGTTCGAGGGCCCTGCTCTTTCGAGCTTACAATCTAGGAGGGAGGGGGTAGAGGTACAGGAGGAAGTGGCTGTGGGGGATGGAGTGGTAGAGAATGGCTGTTAGGTAAGGGTGGGGTAGGCTTCCCTGAAGAGATGGGTTTTCAGGGTGCTCCTAAAGGTGAGGAGGGTAGGTGACAGTCTGACGGATAGGGGTAGGGAGTTCCAGAGGATGGGGGAAGTCCTGGAGAAGTCCTGCAGTTGGGCGTGGGACGAGGAGACCAGGGAGCTAGAGAGTAGGAGGTCTTGTGAGGAGCAAAGAGTACGGGTAGGGTGGTATATGGGTATTAGGTCAGTGAGGTAGTTTGGGGCAGCGTTATGAATGGCTTTGTATGTCAGAGTTAGTAATTTGAATTTAATGCGTTGGGCAATCGGGAGCTAGTGAAGGGATTGGCAGGGGGGGTGGCAGAAGTGGAGCGGTTGGTGAGGTGGATGAGTCTAGCTGCTGAGTTCAGGATAGACTGGAGCGGGGATAGCCTGTGTTGGGGTAGGCCGGTGCGAAGGGAGTTGCAGTAGTCTAGGCGTGAGATAATAGGGAGTGTACGAGTTGTTTAGTGGTGTCTGGGGTGAGGAACATACGTATCTTGGAGATGTTGCAGAGGTGGAGCCTGAATGAATTTGATAGTGATTGGACATGAGGTTGGAAGGAAAGGTCTTTGTGGACAATAAGTAGACAAGTAGACAAGTCTCTGTGGACAATATATGTTGTAATTTGTAATGAGTACCTCCCTGACAGTGATGACAGTGGAGAGAGGCTGCGTGAGGCCAAAGAGTCAAATAGTGTGTGCGGCTCTGGGAAGCTGGGCAATGGGGGAGAAAAAAACATTTTTTTTTGAATGAGGATGGGATAATGCTCACCCAAATATGTTATCAAAAGAGTTTTCTGGTCTTCAAAAAACAAAAAAAAAAGAGGGATGAAAATGGCTATCGTATACAGCGACGTCCTTTCCCGGGTTTGAATTTCTCTAAAGAAACTTTTGAGCTCAATATGCCAACAACTCCAAAACACATTTTTTTCTACAGATCACTTACCATCACGTATTTCTTGTCTAATGTCCCACTCCATCTGTACCAACTGCCTCCTCTGTTGCTCACTTAGCTGCGATGATTTGTGCCTGGTTATTACACAGGTAGCTGAATGTGACACAGCAAATATAAATTAACACAAGTCATATCATTAGAAATCAAAGAACTATATTTAAAACAAAAACTTTCTGTGGTTTCTAATGGTGGAGCTATTTAGCTCTTTAAATATAGACTATGAATGATTCTGTCTTCGCTTCTGAAACCAGCAGGGCAGCTAGCATGCAAATTTGTATCCTACACACCGAGTAAGTTGTGTGTGTGTGTGCCCTACCTGAAAATGATTGAGTGCTACTGGGAGGTTTACTGTGTTAAATTATTGACAGCAACAGCATGCTAAAAAGAAGCAAAAGGTTCCTAGCGTTTGAATTCTTCCATACATGCATCACTGTTGGAGGCATGGCAACACCAAAAGGGGACTATGTGTAAACAAAGCGTTTTATATTCCTGTGGGCTTCATTGGTAGTTTGCTACATATTGCTAGTCATTTTTACATTTATGTATAAGCACCAAAACCGCAGGCTGTAAAACTGAAGTTCCTTGAAAAAAAGGCGGAAAAATCACAGTGAAATAGGTAGTATTACCTAGCAAACCCTAGAATGCTCCATTGATATAAACAAGTTTGTCACCAATTCTGTAATATCATAGCAGACCTGCTAGTGTTTAATATGTTTATCTGTTTTTTACTAGAAATAAAATGTGCCCCTTCAACTCACACTGGTATCACAGACCAGGCATATACTGTAGAGTGGTACCCTAACTCTTGAGGAATCATTGAACCATGCTGGTGAAATTTCCTTCATAAAATGGGGTCCTTCCCATGTAAACATCAATATTGTGCTGATGAGCTCTTCCACACCTCCAGTGTCTTAGGATGGGTTGGAAGAGATTATACGCAGCTTAAGGGCCCATTTCCACTAAATCATGTTGAGCTGTGGGAGCATTCACTTGAAAGGGCACCCAAATGCACCTCCAAAGCCTGCACCTCCACATGCCCTGTTTGTTACACTGCACTGTGAAATAATGCAGACAGCACCTATTTTTTTAAGCATTGTGAACCATTAAATTTGAAGGTGTTACTTAATGAAGTGCTATACAATGCATGTTCAAGCACAGAAAACTACAAGAGGAGGGTGATCCTGAACAAGAATAGGCAGCTCCTGCAGAAAGGAAACAATTCATGCTGCATTTTTGCACAGATCTGGAAGAAATACGCAAAGCACACCTGGCTCAAATAAAAATACCAATTCCTCTTGTATTTAGAATATATTTGCTTATCTCAAAGTTCAGCTTTAATCCCCCCTCCCCAGCAGCACATAGTTACCTTTCTTTTGCTTCCCCACCACTACATTTATCCACCAGTGAAGAAACTACCTGAGAATCTCCTGTGATACTTCTGATGCTTGGTAATGGCATATTCTGGTACCCAGTGATCTCCCATGGAGGTGGGGAGAGAGTTCCCAGCCCTGGGTTAGCTTTGACTGGAGCATCTAAAAACTTACGCAGGGTTTCTTTCCGTACTCCAAATGCAGGAGCAGGGGAGGAACATTAAACCAAACACCTTGCTTTCCCTTTCATGGACAAAGCACTGGTTTGCTTTGGGAGAGACTATGCAAGGGAAGATTTTTGTTTAAAAACAACCAGCAAGGAGAGATCCGCCATCCTTTGATGGCTTTATATGAACCCAGGGATTCATTCATTCACCTACTGAGAACAAGGAAGGATTCAGCCTGGTGGTAGGGAGCAGAGGTGTAGCTGGGGGGGGCAAGGGGGTACATATGTACCCGGGCGCCAAGGTACAGGGGCGCCAAAATGAGGCTTACAACGTTACATTATAATAAGTGAACAAGGGTAATAAATCGGTCACAAGATCACTGCAGCGGCTGCAGCAGACGTGTCATCTGATATGTCTGCCATCCACAGTGATGATGCTGCCTGCCAGCCACTGCAGCCTGCCGAGATACGGATTCTACGTCTGTCTGCACGTATTGAGCGTTGATAAAAAAGTGGGCATATGTGACGAGTCTACGACAGTGACTGACTGAGTCATATAATATAATTTCTATAAATTTGCTTCTTTAAATACAATGTTTCATTAAAATTTAAATTGTTTTTCCTTATTCAATGTAATAGAAGAATGTGATTAAACGGGGAGGGGGGCTGGGGCGCCAATTTTATAGTTCGTCCCGGGCTACGCCTGTGGTAGGGAGAATTTCTAACAAGTTGGACAATCTTCCTGTGTGATCCTAAGCTCCTTTGACCACCAGAGGTGCTTATTATTAAAGTGTTACTAAACTCTAAAATTGTTTTTTCAATAAAATACCATGTTATACTCACCTTCTCTGTGTAGTAATATTGTACAGACCGGCCCCAATCCTCCTCTTCTTAGGTCCCCAGCCGGTGATTTTGGCTCCTCCTCTTCTTTGTGTGCCCCCAAAGCAATCTGTTTGTTATGGGGACACACATTGCATGCCCACTCCCGACCTGTGTGTCTATGGAGCCGTGCTCCATAGACATACAGACTCCGCGCTCCATACACTTAGCCCTGCTCACCCACCTCCTTTTCACTACATTTGATTGACAGCAGCAAGAGCCAATGGCTCCTGCTGCTGTTTGAGTCCCTGTGTGAAGAGGAAGCAAGGGGAGAAGAGATACAGCCATGCACAACACTGATCTCTTCTCCCTTCTCTTCCCTACACACAGGGAAGGGGGAGCACAAGGAGACTAAAAACATTTTTTACCTTAAAGCGGAGTTCCAGCTGACAAAAAAAAAGTCAGCAGCTACAAAAACTGTAGCTGCTGACTTAAAAAATACAGCCACTTACCTGTCCCCCGGTCCAGCGGTGTCCTCACCACCGCTGGTTTCACTGGCCATCTTCTTTCCCTGGCGCCAGCATCTTCAGTGTTGGTACCTGGCTGTGACAGCCTGCAGCTTCACAGCCGGGAGCCCACTACGCATGCGTGAGAAGTGCTGCGCTTTGTGAATCGCCCCATAGTCTTCTGGAACCTGCCACATTTCCCAGAAGACTGTGGGGAGGGCAACTTCCACTTCCAATCGCCTAAGGGATCGCAGCGGAAGTAGGAGCGGGTACTTGTCAAATTTTGGTACCCGCTCCCCAAAGGTGCCAATCTTTAATGGGGAGCGGGGGACAAAACATTATGGCAGAACTTCCCCTTTTGGGTGGAACTCCGCTTTAATGCAAGCAATTCATTCTGGAAAACTATTTTTAGTATCACTTTTGGAACTGCACTATACAGAAAAGCCTTGATGAAGCAGTGTGGCTTCTGCATATATTTGCAAAAGTTGTTCAACTTTTAACACAAAATCTTAGATTGCGCAACTTGTTTTTTGCAGTCTACCTAGTAAGTGTTCTGGGAAAAACAAATCTTGTTTCATTTTGTTTGCGCTGTGCAAAGCTCTTTCATATGCACCTTACTCTTAACGCTAGTTAGAAATTGGGGCAATTGCTATTTTTGTATTTAGCTTTGTTGTGCTGATATTAAAGTGGTTGTAAACTCTTACATATACCCAGTGAAGTGATTGGCTTCAGGTGATAAACAAATATGAAACAAATCCTCTTCCATAAGTTATACCTACTTGTCTGCAGTATTTTCTTTTCTACATTCGTTCAAAGTGCTGAATTTATAAAGAGGGGGGAAGCTGAAATTACACTCTGCAGAGCTTAATTAGGAGAGCTCTGAGACTTGATTGGAGGAGAGAGACACCCCCCCTCCACACAGCACACAGGAACAGAGCTGAGGCTCTCAATCAACTGGAGGTCCTTCCCCTGTCACCTTCTTTCTTTTGGTGTCAGGAAAACTTGTCATAAGTGATTCATGCTGATAGCAGAGGAATGAAGATGGAGACAGAAATGACGCTCAGTCAGGGGGAAATAGATGGGCTTGGGTTATTAACCCCTTTCCCGCCGCCCTATAGCAGAAAAACTTAGCATTTCCAGGTAGGAGCGTGCACTGCCCTACCCGCGCTGCCATTGAAGGCTACAATTGTCCATGACTGGGTCCCAGCCGGAGATTCCCTGCCGGCACCCAGCAATCGCTGAGAAACAGTGGTGACAGGGGAGAGACCTGTGTGTAAACAACACAGGTCTCTCTCCTGCCAGCAACAACATGCTGCACAGCAGAGAAATACACAGCAGCATGTTTCCCTAGCAAAACACACACAGCACACTTAATAAAACAGCACACAGTTAACGCTTTGATCACCTCAGATGTTACCCCTTCCTGCCCAGTTTCAGTACAGTGTCAGTGCTTTTTATTAGCACTGATCACTGTATTAGTGTCATTGGGATGTCAGTGGCAGTTAATCAGTTCCCCCCATGTCAGAATGCCTGTCGGAGCCCAATAGCGCTCCCGCTGTATAAGTCACTGATTGCCGCCATTACTAGTATAACAAAAATTAAAAGCTTACAAAAAATTCCAGTATATATACCGCCATTTGCAGATAACTTTCACGTAAACTAATTAATTTACATGTATTGGAGGAATTTTTTTTTTAGCAAAGACATGTAGCAGAATACATTTTGGCCTAAATGTATAGCAAAATTTGATTTTTTAAGTTTTTTCTACTGGATATGTTTTATAGCAAAAAGTCAAAAAGGTGAAATTTTTTTTTTTTTTTTCAAAATTGGCAGACCGCACAGGCCAGGTGATCAAATACCACTGAAAGAAAGCTCTATTTGTGGGAAACAAAGGACATAAACTTAATTTATGTATATCGTTGCATGACCATGCAATTGTCAGTTAAAGTAACACAGCGCTGTATCACAATGCTCTGGTCAGGAAGGGGGGTAAATCCTCTGGAGGGCAAGTGGCTTTTTAATATGTGGTGATTTTGCTGTAAAATATTTACTGCACAGCAATACCATTTGCCTTTTGGTCTGTCTGTCATTATGGAATTTTTTTTCTGGGGTGTATGCCTAACTTTCATATTCACTATAGCAATAAGGGGGTAAGGTGAATGTAAGGAAATGTAAGGTGCTTTTGATGCACAATGAACTAGACACATGCTGTGTAGAAACTGCAGCTGAAAGAACAGTACAGCAACAAGTGAACGGTGCATTTTGAAGCCCTAACCTTAAATCCCTAAAAAACTTAAACCCTAAGAGCCCTATAAATAGGAAATAAAGATACTTTGATATTGAAAGGACACCAGAACAAAAGGCTGCTCCCTTTAAAATAATACATACAAAAAAATGAAATATAAAAGCAATAAGCAGCACCCCCCCAAAAACAGCTGCAATGGGAGAGGCAGTAGGGGCAATAGCTACCAACTAATAACACCTATTAAAGTTTCAACATACACTAATAGCAAGACTACTGTGAGCCCCCAGCCCCCCTTCCGTTATGTAGTCAGGAAGCTGGCCTATCCAATTCACCCATTGGACCTTCTAAGCTTGGTTACCATGGGCTGAAGGCCATGTGGTATGTTATGGTTTTAAAAAGGTTCAACACATGAAAAATTGTACATAGATTCACTGTTGATCCAAATCTGGAAGATTCGCTGCGAACCCATGGTTGCCGTGAATTTGAACACCATCTACAGCTGTGAGATTTAAATGTTCGAGTACCAAATGCTTCTTTACTTTATTTTAGATGAATGATAGCTTACTATAAATCTCTAGCAACTCAATCAGATATTAGTAGGTGTGTCATAACTTATATGTGAGGGATAATAGTGTTATATAACACTTACCAATAACCACAACTAGTAGAACGGGGATAACCAGAAGGATATACATATAGACGTAAACTCCTGCTACTTTATCCAGTTTCTTTATATAGTTGCCCAAAACAACCTTTAAAAAATTAAAAAAGTGAAATTAGCCATTGTACCTGAGTAGAAAATGAGTCTGCGAGAATGAATATGGGAGCTGCCATTACTGTTTTATAAAGTGAATACTCGGAGGATGTCGTGCTCCTCCTGCCTCTCCTACTTGATGAGGCACTCTTCCTAAAGGAGCATGGGTGTAGAAACACCTAATGCATATATTTGTTATGGAAGCAAGGATAGGGATGACAGACCTGGATCATGCACATGAAGAATTTTAAATTTTATACGAGTGCCAATCGTTTAATAATATGTTCGTTAGTACACAGCTTTCAAGAGACGATCATGACAATTCATGCAACAATATCTGAAGGGACAATTACGAAAATGTTACTTGTACAATACCAGATCATTCGATTTTCATTTAATCAGCACAGTAGTCATCCGAAAATATAATACAAATACAATACAATACATTACATCACTTTCAAAAAATTTTTTTTCCATACAAGAATTTTTGTAAGTTTAGTACCCTTTTCATTTTCTATATGGAGACTAGCATCCAAAAAAACAGTTGATGATCATTCGTCCGAAATTTTTATTGTGTGTATGGAGCATTAGCCTTGGTTGCAACACCCTGCTGTATGACCCTCTCCTGGCCCTCCTGATAGGGTCTGACCAGCACCCTGGGTTCTCACACTCTTCTCGGGAAAACAGACTTCCTCCAGCCACCCTGGACTCACTAGTCACCTCAGCTGTCCAAGTCTCTCCAGACCTGCATAGCTGTCCTGACTTTTCCAGTGCTATGGGCCAGAAGGCCCTACAAAATAGGTTCACATCTTCTGAGTAGGTCACCCTTCCTGGCACACTGTGTGTTCTGAATGGCAGCAACTGCCTTGAGTTCTCACCAGACCTGGCTTATCATAACCCTGTACACCTGTCCATTCACACAGGCTGCAGGTGTCTTGCAAAATGTGGACACAGAATTGAAGGCTCCATCTCTTTGGAGCCTTCAAACTCCAAGCCCTACTCTGGATTATAAAACCCAGACAAAGCTTAAAGGATAAGTTCACCTTTTACAAAAAAATAAATGCAAATTTTTTTTGCAGGTAAAAAATGTACATTTACTATCATTTTTTTTCGGAACTGGTTTGCTGGTTCCATGCAGGACTCCTGCAGACTGTCAGTGTTAGCTGTCTGCCCCTTAATTCATAGGGCAGAATGTCGGTACTTGTAGTTAATTCATTCACAGAATGCTCTTTTTGAAAAATGAAACCTGGTACTGGGAACTTCTCCCCGAACTGCTGTCACACACAGGGCTTGAATCACTGAGCTACTGCAGGAGCAGGAACATGTTACATGTTCCGCGCTAAAAAAGTGTGGAGCATGTAACATGTTTTCGGAGATGAACTTATCATTTAAAGTCCAGCTTTCTCCACTCACAATATACATCCTGGAGCTTTGCATTAAGCCTTAATGCGAATCTTGTGCCATTTCTACCTGAATTCACATAGTGGCAGGGCCTTGCAAAACAAAAAAACATTCAGTACAGCGCTAAAATAAATGTACATTTTCCCATGTTTTATCCTTTTAAAAACACTGCAAGTATGGAAAAATGCCTGTTCAGTCTGCCACAAATCCAGAGAGAAAACACAGTGCCTCTACTGCATTGAATTCCCAAGCAGTAATTGTCAGCTCAAAAAGGAACAGAAATAGGGAACTCCTTACAGGATGATCAGATTCCGGGCTGCTGTTAGAAATCACAGGGCCCTGTACAGCCTACATGACAGGGCTCCCCCTCTCCTAAAATATCAAGTTATATTTTTGCTAAAATTCCTTTGATTGTAGTGCACTAGTGCAGAGTTAAAACAGGTGGTGAGGAGGCAGATGCTGTCTGAAAAGTTATCCAAATGCTGACTGCCCTTTAAACAGCAAAGCACATTTGAACAAGTCCTTACTTTTTTTAAATTATTTAAAAAAAAAAAAATTTTTTAATATTTTATTTTTTATGACATATTTTAACTGCCCTGTTGGGGATGCCTTTGTTGAAATATGAGGGGTCTAAAGTAGACCCATGATTGTCCCGAGATCATAATAGGACTTAATACCAAGCCTTGTGGCACAGCACAAGTGACTGGTCTCTGTTTTGATTGTACACCATTTGGAATGGAAACATTGAAACCTGGATAACTACAGCCATTTCCCTGCATTCTCATTCATTCTTATATCTTACCTTTACTTCTATTTTAGTCACATCAATTTTTTTGGAGGAGTCCCTTTCAGTTTTACAGAATACTATATCCTCATCAGCCCATTCTGTTATATTCCGCACTTCACAGGTTAAGTTAGAATTTATAAAAACTTGAATCTCATCAGCCCGAATGTGCAGTTCATCTTTTTCTTTCTGTTGAAATAATTATATTAACATTGTTACTGTGGTAGGTTTTAAGGAAGTGGTTACATGAGAATAGGTATCAGAAACATTAAACAAAGAATCTTAGTTTATCATCTTGTAAAGCTAAATGAATCAGTCCTGTTGTCATTGTTGTTAATACAGTAGTTCATGAAACAATACTCTGTATTACAAAAATTGTACCCAGAATTTGTTCTTCAACTACACATACAGTATATGGAGGGGGGTTTGGCTGATAGTGGTGGTAGTACTGTTGATGACAAAAATCAGTAGCTTTTCAGTGCAGCCTGGTCTTAATTTCTGCATGTCCATATAGGCCACAGTCTAGGAGAATCTCCTAACTACCAACCACTCACACATAAAGCTGCAGTCAGTCAAGTTTTCTATAACAAAAGGTTCCAGAGTAACTGCTTGCTGGTCAATATTACTGGCACTGTCTTTAAACACAAACTCAGGGAAATTGATCAAAACGGGAGTAGACAGAATCTGGAGCAAACAATCTATCTTCAGTTTGCTCAGTTAGGCTTTGAAAATAAAAGGTAGAAGCTGATTGGTTTCCATCAACAACTGCTCCAAATTCTGCCTGATTCAGTTTTGAGAAATTTCCCTTTGTATGTTTTGTGTGTGGTTTGGAAAAGTCTCCCTATCTTTTATAGGGGTCAGTTCCAGGGGAGGACTCACGGGGCCAGGGGGAAATTTGCCCCTCAGTCAAGTACTATTAAGATATGTTGGGCTGTTGGCCCTGAACATAGATACTTTTCTATTCAGACACTTATCAGAGCAGGAACCCACAGTCGGTCACACATTCTGGGTATTTTATGACTACTTGCCTTCCATTCTCACCTGTGATCACAGGATCTGGCAGAGGGAAGTCTTCCAGCACTTTTTTGAAGTGTTGTAGTTGTGTGACCGAATGCCAAAGGCATTCACCAAGAAAGGTAATGTTGAGGACTTAAAAAGGTGTGTCACAATAAGCAATGTTATTTAGGAACACCCACCTTTCACCATACCCTTCAGTCACTGCAAAAGCATGGCGCAATTTTTTGGTACACTTACTATAACCCACAGAAATATGTGAGGGCCACCTGGATATATTTTTACCCCAAAGCCAAAGGTCTCCAGTCTTCTGCTGCGCAGTTCTGGATGTACTGATGCTGTGGTAGACTGTTGTCTCTTGTAACCTCTCTGCCCCATCATGTCATAGATGATTGTGACATTTGATCTTGTTAGTGTTATACTAGGGCTACAAACAAATGGCCACTGCCCCAATCTATAACTGGCCTTCACAGCAAGGAGCACTTTGAAGGGTGACATATAAAACAATAATAAGTTCCTTGCTGTGAAGGCCAGTTGTAGATTTGGGCAGTGGTTCATACTGTTGATAAACTGGTGAGGGGACGCACTGGACACCTTGGCTGCCATTGTGTTATATGATGGGTGTCTAGAGTGCCTTTAAGGAGGGGTGGACTCCCTCAGGCTCACCTGCCCTCAGTCTATCCATTATCATACATGTACTCCTATAACGGAGGCTCTCAAAATTATAGAGTTAGGAACTGCAGAATAATGGGGTGCCCTGAAGAGGCTCTGCAGCTTACGCATGTATTTGCAAATGTGTGCAAACCAAACCCCTGTTGTTAACGCAAACTGTTACACAGGACTATTCGGTTGGTAGCAGGCTGCTCTGTAAGTTGAGCTGGGAATTTTTCTTTTTATTGTTTGTTATACTAGGGATAGCCATTTGACTTGGGTGGGGGATGTGGGGAAAAATAGCTGGTCCAACAGGCAGAAAATATAAATCCAAATTCACATCTATATGTTGTGGTATGGTGAACTAAGATCCATGATTTAACATGCATTACCTCAATGCACTGTAATATACTGTATATGTGTGTTGTCATTCATTTTCAATGTACACATATGGTAAGAAAAAATGCACTGATGGGAATGCCTTTTGTCTTGCAGTGTACTGCATTGTCAGAAATAGTGCAGATGCATTATTTTGTCCATTATTTTGAATGGGCCCTCAATCTGACTCTGAGAACTAAGCTTCTATGTCTTGGAAGGTTAACAATTGAAATTAACGTACATAACCACTAGTGCAGCCACTAGCCAGCCCCCACATCACTTATCCAGTGAGCAATAGATGTCAGCCCAGTGAAAAAATATATATTGCAGCTTATTAAATTAAAATGTTCTGAGCTGTTCTCAACTATCCCTATGCTTTGCATTTTACAAGTACATTTTAGAACAGCATTTCTCAAACTTTCTAACATGAAGGAACCCTTGAAAAAACTTTCCAGTCTTGGGGAAATCCTGCTTATAATTACAGCTCGCACCAACTCATTACAGATAGCTGAAAATATCGTTGTTGCCAGTGGGTATGGCTCATTGCTCAAGGAACTCTTAACAAACTCTGGAGGATTCCTAGGGTCTGATGAAACCCTAGTTGAGAAAGACTGCATTTGAACTGCAGGTCGACTGGTTATAAAAAGTAGCAAACATTTTTTTCTTCTGCGCTGATTGTCATAAATGATAACTGTGTCACAAACCTACTGATAAGTCACAAAGTTAAACAATTTCCTAATTTTGTCTGACATTATCAGAACACAAACCATGTCATAATACAAAAAGATAACAGGAAAAACATTTCCAAAGTGAAACATCTTTCATAACTAATTAGGTTATTATTTTACTGTAAGATATAACATTTATTATATCTAATTTAAAAATGTTACATATAAAGTGCATGCAAACATGAAGTGAAAGTTCTTGGCTGTTTCTTCTTCTGTGGTATGTGCATTTTACAGGTTTCTCATACTCATGAAAGTGATGTCCAAACTAGGAATTGTAACAACTAACGTTAGGCTTTTCATCATTTATGACTAGTATGAACAGCTTTCTGAGTGAGGAAGTGCTAAAATAAGTTGATCTTAGGTGTAACTGAGCACAGCATTGCTTCTAATGCATTCCATGCAATCATGACCCTGCAATCAGCTGGGTAATTGAGTGTATCTAAAAGATTTGGGCATCCCTGGAAAGTGCAAGCTAGCTGACCAATGGAAATCCCAACCCTACATCATCTGCAAGCAATTGTCTGCTTTTCCGATGTACCAGATCCACCCAGATGGAAAAATAGGTTTGCTATAAGTCTAGCACTGTAATCATCTTCTACCTTTGGGAGAAGCTGTTTGAATGCCAGACTGATCCATCCTACCTTAGTGTCTTTTTCAAGGCAGAGACCAGTAACACAATCACAGATTTCTCCAGCAGTTGTGGAGGAAATCTGATCTGCAGATACCAGATTAACAGCATCTATTCCTGAGAAAGGGAACTAGACTCACAAAACACACCGATAATTGGGATGTGCTTGATCTTGACATTTGATTCTTACTTCATAGAACTTGAATACTATTATTTGTGTATTAATTATGGAGCTCTTATTATAGTAAATAAGCTAGTTTATTTTATTGAGGCATGTCTTATACATAATTGTCCTTCTACAAGAAAATTTAATTTGTAATTATATTGTCTGTATTGTGCATCATATAGAGTCCCATGGGCATTTGAATTTCACAAATAGTACACAAATATGTGATCACAGTAAAAGAAAATACTTGCCTTTATCCTTAGTTCAATGGCATCACCTACATCGATCGCAGTAAAAGTAGTGAACACAGGATCCGGCTTTGAATATACAGTTCCACATGTTAAATTATTTTCTTCAGTATGAATAGTAATGTTGAGAATCTGGCTGGTTTTACTTAGTGGATCAACCATAAAATAGCAGTGTGTATCGTTCTCCTGACATTTAATGTACTGTAGAATGCAGAACAAACATTTCTGAATATTGAGTAAAATACATAGAAAGTATATTTAATAAGCTATATTTTCGTGGCAACACTCTGGCATTTTGTATATTATTTGTACATTTGGCAAATGTGTGTTTTCTAATTCTGCTGTAAATATAAGCTCCCAACTATGATTACTTTACCTGCCAGATTTACATGTGATTATTGCTAGCGGCTTTTATAGCCACTAGCAATAATCACTGTTTTCCCCCCACCCCCTTGCCAGGGAGAACACAATGGTTCCGTGGGAGGGATTCAGTGTTGATGGGGGAACTCGTGGTTATAGAAAAGAAATTTGCCCCATCTATGGTCAGTGTAACTTTTTTGTAATCCTTGATTTTCAGAACCTTGTGTTGTCATCATGCTAGAGGAAAACTCTGCTTTCAACTTCTAGAGTAAGACTTTCTACATTGTCACATAGCAAATGCACACAGGTATAAAGAACTACATGTCCAATGATGTAATGGAAAAAGCAGAAAGTTGTGGGGCAGGGGCTAAGCTGATGGCGGAGATGAGTTCTGAGCTAAGGGTGGAGGAAGAGTTATTATATTATTATACAGGATTTATATAGCGCCAACGGTTTGCTCAGCGCTTTACATTATAGTGGGATACAATACAGTAACAATACAGTTCAATACAAGAGGGATTTGGGGGCCCTGCTCCTTGGAGCTTACAATCTAGGAGGGAGGGGTTAATGGTACAATAGGTCATAACTGTGGGGGATGGAGTGGTTAGAAGAGTAAAGGATTCCAGAGCAGAGGGCGGTATAGGCTTCCCTGAAGAGATAGGTTTTCAGTGATCGCCTAAAAGTAAGTAGAGTAGGCGATAGTCTGATAGATTGGGGTAGGAGATAAGGGAGCTAGAGAGTAGGAGGTCTTGCGAGGAGCAGAGAGAACGGTTTGGGTGATATTTAGAGAGAAGATTGGTTATGTAATTTGGGGCAGTGTTGTGGACGGCTTTATATGTCATTGTTAGTGTTTTGAATTTTATCCGTTGGGCAACTGGGAGCCAGTGGAGGGATTGGCAGAGAGGGGTGGCAGATACAGAACGGTTAGTAAGGTGGATGAGTCTGGCAGCAGCATTCATGATAGACTGGAGTGGGGATAGCCTGCGATGAGGTAGGCCAATGAGGAGGGAGTTACAGTAGTCGAGGCGAGATATATCAAGGGAGTGAATAAGTTGCTTAGTGGCTTCCGGGGTTAGGAACGGTCGTATCTTGGAGATGTTGCAGAGGTGAAGTCTACATGATTTTGTCAGCGATTGGATCTGGGGCTGGAAGGACAGATGGGAGTCAAGGATTACACGTAGTACCCTGGCATGAGGGGATGGACTGATGATTGTGTTATCGATATTTATGGTGAAGTCAGTGGAGGTGGCACGGGCTGGGGGGAATACTAAGAGCTCAGTTTTGGAAAGATTGAGTTTGAGGAAGTGGAGTGACATCCAAGCCGATATGTCACTTAGTAGGCTAGTGATGCGAGTGGAGACTGAAGGGGTGAGGTGAGGGGTAAACAGATAGATTTGCGTGTCATCAGCATAGAGATGGTAATTGAAGCTGTGGGAGTTTATCAAGTGATTATCAATGTTAATAGGGATGTTGAAGTCTCCAAGGATGATAGTGGGTAGCTGAGAGCAAAGAAAGTAGGGTACCCAGGCGGCGAAGTCATCAAGAAAGCGGGACACGGGTCCAGGAGGCCGATAGATCACTGCAATCCTCAGAGAGATCAGAGAGAACAGCCGGATGCAGTGGGTCTTGAAAGAAGAGAAGGATAGAGAGGGAGGTTTAGGGAGGACTTGAAAGGTGCTCAGTGGTGACAGAAGTAAACCAACCCTGCCTCCTTTCCAACCACTGGGTTTGGGTGAGTGGGTCAAGATGAGGCCTCCATAGGAGAGTGCTGCGGGGGAGACAGACTCTGCTGCTTGGAGCCAGGTTTCAGTGCGTGCTAGAAGGTTAAGGGAGCCGGAGACAAAGAGGTCATGGATAGAGGTGAGCTTATTGCAGACCAAGAGTGCGTTCCATAGTGCACATGAAAACGGGAGGGTGGTTTTGGGAAGCAAGGGGACAGATATTAGATTAAGGGGATTGCGGTAATTCCCGGAAGAAAGAGGATGTCTTGTGTGTGGGCGAAGTAGTGGAGGACCAGGGTTCGGGGAGATATCCCCAGAAGTTAGAAGAAGAAGAATGGTGAGGAAGGTGGCATGTGAGCGGGATGTATACGAGTGTGCATGCCTTCCAGTCCTGGTGTTAGGGTCAGCAGGAAAGTAATATCAGCAGGAGATCCAGCCGCGATCTTAGGAAAGACCGCGGCTTCATAGGCCGCGGTAGGCTGCAAAATCTAGGAGCTCCTGGGGGGGGGGGGGGGGGGGCCCAAAATTGCCTAGCACCCTTCCCTGGGTATTCATCAGGGGCTGCAGGGTCTTCGGTGCCCCTGTAGAGTCCGCTGCCGCCTGGATGGCAGCGGATGAACAATGGGGCGACGGAGCTCCTTGTTATGCTGCAGCTCCGGTCCCCATCTTAGAAAGTTGAGCTGAGAACAGAGTTGGAGTTGAGAGAAGAGCAGAGCTGGGGTTGAGCTAAGGGCAGAGCTGTGTTCTGATGCTTATCAGTGGGAGGTGCAGACTGGGAATCTGAGACTCCAAATCCCGTCTATTACACTCACACAGAACTACAATGGGGAAGTTACAAGACAGGGGGCTGTGGGGACAGAGGGCACAGCAGCTTCCAATCTTACAAAATGGAATTCACAGGGAAAGAAGCCTGTGATTTAAAGCTGTATGAAACCCAAACACAAACATTTATTATATTGCAGCTTACCAATTCTTAGATGTGATGGCTGCATTAGCTTTCATTTTTAGGCTTACTTTCCTTTTTTTGTACCTGGTGAACCCACTTGTAAGTCTGTTGTTTTTCAACAGAACAAGCTGTCCTGCAAAAGTATTTGAGACAAACAGTTTACCTGTGATGGGTACTTACAATGATCAAATGTTATTTATTTATGTAAAACCTTTATCTCTAAAGAAAAAATAAAACAGGTTAACTGTAAGTGTTTGTGTAACTGCAGCGTTAGCTGGAGTTTGGCTGTAGTTCATTAGTGCATCTGCTATCAGGTGCATAGCTACAGGGGCCACAGGGGTTGCAATCGCAGCCTGGCCCCATATTGCAGGAGGCCCATGTTGCCCCCTGTACACCTGGATCAGAGGAGCAGTGTGGGCGACTGCATATAGAGGAAATGATCCCTCCATGTTTCTCCTGCAGCCACAGAATGCCTTCAGGAGAGGAGGAAAAGCAGGCAATCAGCAGCAGCAGGAGGAACATGAAGAGACAGATCTCCTATATGCAGTCACCCCATTGCTCCTCCTATCTAGCTTCTTTTGGCTGCACCTGGGCTGAAAGAGTTAGTGCTGACAGCTCCCACCCACCTCCCCTTCCCGCATGGACAGAAGAGGAGAGAGATCTGCTTCTGCTCTGCACTGACAGCCCCCCCCAATGGATGGGAAAGGAAAGAGAGCTGCTTCTGCTCCTCCTCCTCCCACCCCTCCCTCTGCCCGTGTCTGTCGTGCCCACACTGCAAAAAGTAATTTAAAAAACTACTGCCACCAGTGTCACAAAGGCCCCACTTGTGACCAGGCCCTGGTTTTCCGCCTCTGGGCTCTAAGGTAAGTGCCCCAGCTAGGGGTCCCTTCATGGTTTTTACAGTGGGGCCCTGAAGGTTCCAGTTACACCACTGTCTGCTAGTACATCTAACACTCCCCTCCCCCCAGACTGACAATGCTGCTGTCCAAATGTGCCCCCCGTGCTGCTCATCCAGAGTGAATACAGGCAGTGTATTACTGGCCAGGTCATCAGGTAAAAATAGATGGAAAAAAGCCTAACGAAAGAAAACCACACTTGAAGATTGATACATTGCAACATATTACATTTTTTGTTATGAGTTTAATACTGCTTTAAATAATGCACATTCTTTTTCTCCTAAACTATAGACTGAGGAAACAAATAGAGTACATATCTGCTCAAGGTAGGATAGCACTGGCAACAACATGGAAAAAGGTATCTGCCCAGAGTTCAGTTTTAAGTTTGTAAAACACTGTGTATGCCCTGGAAGCAAATTTTGATGTTCGATATGTACAAATGTATAAGACTTACTTTGTGAAAATTGTTCCCTGTTATACTAAATGTATCCACAAGATTCAGGCTTTTTCCAGACAGTGAGAGTTTTCGTCCGCCACTAAACAGAAAATACATAGACGTAAGTCACAAGACACCAAGATGCAATTTAAAACTGTTGCTTTGACCTGAAAACAATACATTACTCTGTGATAAATCCTTTATTAAAATATTGACCTGGCCACATAATTTTAACTTGACAGATCACAAAGTTGTGATTAGCTGTTAGCTTAGTTATTTATGTGTAGCCTTACAATTCAAAGCAACATGCAAAAACCATGGAAAAAAATACGTACTAAATGTTTCAATGAGTCAGTAATGTCTCAGCATTGATGAAAAATGAATGTATGCATTTGCTTTCCTTTGACCTCAAACACTATTTAGTTCTTTTGTAGACTAACAAAACTAACATATACACTTAAAGTAATTCTAAAGGCATATTTTTTTTTTTTTAAATAACAAACATGTCTATACTTACCTGCTGTGTGCAGTGTTTTTGCACAGAGCCTCCCAGATCCTCCTCTTCCTGAGTCCCCCGCAGGCTCTCATGGCTCCTCCCTCCTGTTGGGTGCCCCCACAGCAATCAGTTTGCTATGGGGTCACCCGCTGCTCGTGTGTCCATTCACACACTGGGCCGTGGTTCGGCCCCACCTCCTTTCTCTTCTCATTGGCTCACTGCTTGTGATTGACAGCAGAGCCAATGGCTCCAGCCAATGAGAAGAGGGAGTCCCAGCATAGCCGAGAATGCAATGCTGGGCTTAGGTGAGTATTAGGGGGGCTGGGGAGGATACTACACACAGAAGGTTTTTTATCTTCATGCAGAGAATGTATGAAGGTAAAAAAAACCTTCAGCCTTTACAACTTTAAATGCATGAAATATACATATCTGCCTTTGGCATTCATTCTCCTTACAAAAAAAACTGCACAATTATAATAACTTGGTCTTAAAATATTACTCTCCACCTTTAAAGATGGATTCCAGGTATGGTATATTTTTAGATAGTTATTGGTCCAGCTTGGACCCATGTAACAATGTATATACAATACCTGTGGGATCACTCTAAAAGCTCGAAATCACTAGTAGACAGCGCTACTCCAGTGATCTCCACTAGCTTCTGGGTCCCTTGCTGAGCAGTCGGCTTGATTCATTGTGAATACAGGAGGTCAGCTGGTCAGCAGGGATGTCATTTAGAGTGCAAAGTGTTCTCTGATTGGATAAAGTGGAAAAAGAGGTGTCACCACCGCCCTTTTCACTTCATCCAGTTTTTGTATTGCTGTTTGTGTCCTTTCCATTGGTCCTGGTCACCACTGACAACAAAGTTGAATGTAATGGGAAATTAAAAATGTTACTTTTGCTGCAAGAATCGGAAGTGAAGGTAAATCTTCCAATGGGGACACCTGTCCTGGTGATACATGTCTAAAACAGGGGTGCTCAACATTTTAAACAGCAAGGGCCACTTAAGTGATTTGGTAACTGGTCGCAGGCCACAATTAAATGAAATAGCCGACGGGAGGGAGAGGAGGCAAAGCCAGCTTTCAGCGGTTGCAGGGGAAAAGGGAGAGGATTGCTTCCTGCATATGCTGCCCCCACCACCCCTCCTGTCCAAGTGTAAAACATAATGTGACTGGGAGGCCACATGGGCCCCCTGGAGCATGAGATGGGTCACAACTGCAACCTCTGAGGCTACACCAGTGGTTTAGGAGTGTGGTAAAAACAAGTCTCAATTATGTGGTTTTTACCACCCTCCCCTTCCAAACTGTAAATGTAAAAGAGTCCTTACTGTGCTGATCTCCCAGTGGTTTAGGAGTGTAGTAAAAATAAAGTCTCAATTATGTGGTTTTACCACCCTCCCCTTCCAAAATGTAAATGTAAAAGAGTCCTTACTGTGCTGATCTCCCTATAAGGCTGCTTTCATACTGATGTGCTGTGGTTTACCCACATCACGAGTGCAGTGTACTGCACCTGCAGCTTTCTTATAGGTTAGCTGTGCTTTGCCATAGACTTCTTTTATATCTTGCAGATGTGGTGTACTCTGTGAAATTGAACCAAAATTTCTGCATTCAGCAGGTTTGGTGTGCTTTCATAAACGGCGCCAAACCCGCAGGATATAATACAAGTGTGCTTCCCTGGTTTGAAATCGAGGGCCACATCAGAGGGTTTCGAGGGCCACAGGTTGAGCATCCCTGGCATAGAGAATACATGTCACAGAAAGTAAATGTGTGGGGGATCTTACAAAGTAAGTTTACAGACTTCAAGATCATTCAGATTAATATGCTAGACAGAATTGTGTACAATATGGAAATTAATATATCATTCTAAATTTTGACTATAGATACATTTTAAAGTATGTAGGATATTGTATATTGTATTGTAACCTGTTATTTAAATAAAGACAATGAGAAAGCTTGTAAAGGGGTTAAGGCTAATCTTGACTGAGAAGCTGATAACTCATTATATAAGGGTGACCAGGAGTTGCAAAATGAGGTGGCCCGGTAAGGAAGGACAGAGGAGTGGGAGCCATTACTTACTGCTAGGCTAGTGCATATCCAGCAATCAACGCCAATGATCCGTGGGAATGCTGCGGGGGCAAGCATTCCAGGATTAGACAGCATAGCCCACACTTCCCTCCACTCCCCATTAGAATGCTCTCCACTGCATTGGCACTGCTGGTGCTGGCAGTGTGACCCACATTAGTGAGATACATATTAGTGAGTTACATCACTGTTCCCCTATTAATCATTTTTCCCACCAAATCCTAGCATGTACTCCCAGGGGAATGCATATCCTCAGTCACTCAGCGGCCAGACTCATCCACCTTACCAACCGCTCCGCTTCTGCCACCCCCCTCTGTCATTCCCTCCACTGGCTCCCGATTGCCCAACGCATTAAATTCAAACTACTAACACAGACATACAAAGCCATTCATAATGCTGCCCCAAACTACCTCACCGACCTGATAGATACCCAAATACCACCCTACCCATAATCTTCGCTCCTCACAAGACCTCCTACTTTCTAGCTCCCTGGGCTCCACCTCCCACGTCCGACTGCAGGACTTCTCCAGGACTCCCCCCATCCTCTGGAACTCACTACCCCAAATCCATCAGATTGTCACCTACCCTCCTCACCTTTAGGCGCACCCTGAAAACCCATCTCTTCAGGGAAGCCTACCCCGCCCCCACCTTTTTTTAGCCAAGATCGTCAGTTTATTATCTCATGTGTCTCTATTGAGTCATTAGTGGACAAAAAGTTTTAACAAAACAGGTGCTGTTTTCAGTATTGTACAGTACTGTATTCCTAGATTTCCCCAAGACCAGGCAAAATGGGATACAGACATTCCAAACATGGATTGGGATGAGGTTTCTGCTTCCTATTTTATCACAAACATCTCCGCCACAGACAATCTAGGTTCTACTTTACATCAGAACTGCTCAAAGTGGGGAAAAGTGACAAGTGTTAGGGAGATGATGGGGATATGATAGCAACAGCCCTATGGTTAACCCTGTATGGTCTCAGATTATGGAATTTATTTCAGAGAACTTTCAAAATCCCCAATATTTGTAACTCAAAGTGGTGCCTATTGGGGTATTTGGTGATATGGATTTTGGAAGAGCTCAAAAGACCTGACAGTACTTTTCTATTCTCCTAGGAAGAATGTAGTATTACACTGGATTTCCATGGAGCCCTTTGATATGATTGATTCCTCTGGAACTCACTACCCCAATCCATCAGACTGTCACCTACCCTCCTCACCTTTAGGCGCACCCTGAAAACCCATCTCTTCAGGGAAGCCTACCCCGCCCTTGCCTAACAGCCGATCTCCTCCACTCCTCCCACCACTCCATCCCCCACAGCCACTTCCTCCTGTACCACTATCCTCTCCCTCCTAGATTGTAAGCTTGAAAGAGCAGGGCCCTTGACCCCCTTGTGTTTTGTTTTGTTACTGTATTGTCTCATGTTCTGTCCCCCACTATAATGTACAGCGCTGAGCAAACCTTTTAGCGCTATATAAATACTGTATAATAATAATAATATCCTGGTTGGGAGCCACTGATACAGAGTATTGTAGTGCCAGCAAGAACTCCTCTTTGCATCAAACCACATCTAATGATTTCCTATTTTGCCAACACTGTTGATCATTGGCTCTGCTAAAGCATACAAATAATTTATATATTGCTTGGTTTTTGAGCGTCAGGGCTAATATTTTAGTGAAGTTTCTAGCTGATTATTTTAGAATAATCTCTAAGCCTCAACTGGGGTGGGCACAGAAACCAGTGTTAATTTTGTTGAAGAAAATATTTTTGTTGACAAAATAAACACTATTTTAGTTGACTAAAATACGACTAAAAAAACAATTCAGATGACTAAAATATGAATAAAACTAAAATGGCATTTTAGTTAAAAGACTATGACTAAAACTAAACTGAAATTTGACGTCAAAACTAACACTGGTTATATATCACAATGGCTAAATCTGTGTCTGTAGAACATGTTCAAACTGTAATACCATAAATAATAAGATGTTAGATTTTTACTCCAGGAATATATAATTTTTGGGAAATTCTAAAGAAATGCTTAAATAATGTATTAAAAAGTAACTAAACCCATTAGATTTTAGTCAACTAAAATGATTTTAGTTGACTAAAATGTAGTGGAGATTTCAGTCAACTAAAATATGACTAAATCTAAAACAATTCAGATGAGTAAAATAGGATTAAAACTAAAATGACATTTTAGTCAAAAAACTATAACTAAAATGAAATCGAAATTTGACATCAAAGTTAACACTGATAGAAATAGACATTTGTATCCTAGTATGGATAAAAAAATCTGAGCTGAGGATAAACAATCAGATTATAAAATAAAATAGTTAATAAACTTTACCTGAGCCATACAACATTTGGATCATTCACAGAACACGTGGGCAATGATTCATAAAAGATGTTTAGGCCTTGCTGACACTTCCCTTCACATTGAACACATAATTGCTTAACTTCCTTTGCAATTGGCAGTGAGATAAAAGCATGTGTGTCGTTCCATTGTTCTTCTTTTCTAATTTGAACTCTAGCAATGAAAACAGTAAATGTATTTGCAGCTGGACATCAAACACATATAAGTGAACTCAAATGACTCATTATTCTGCTTAGCCAGTTTTATAATCTGTACATCCCTGACTGGCATCACAACAAGGTCAGTAACTTCAGTTTTCCCTACTTCAGTTAACCAGTACTGTTTGAACCCAGACTCGGCTACCTGATTGGACAAAGAAGGAGAAGCATCACAACATTGAGGTCATCCCTAAGTCATCCTTGCACACTCCCATCCTGTAAGCATTTTGTAAAGGGGAAAGGCTCAACTGGTAAAGGAAGCAGTAAAACATGCAAGAGACAGGGAAATCCAAGAACAGTCCAAGCAGCTTTGACACTGAAAACACAGTCATCTCACATATATAAAGGCCTGTGCACATCTAATCAATTAGTGATGTTACCTACCATAACAAAAATTTCTATAACAAACCCCCACAATAATAGAAAGGGGAGGAAGTCATGGAAAATTGGGGATTTTAAAGGTGCTCCAACTCTCAAAATTACCAAATACTGTATATAATTCAAAAAGGATTTTATTTATACAGATTTAAAAAATATCACAAATTACAACACAATCAATAAATTTCAGCTACAGTATGTAGATAAAAAAATGCTTGCATTATAAATCAAACAGAAGAATGAAGAACCAATAGATCGACATGTTTTGCCCAAAAGGGATTCTTCGGGATACACTCTGTTCTATGTGTTTAAAAATAGTGTGTAGCTGATGAAATATACAATTAAAAATATTTATAATTAATAACAAAAATATTAATATCATAAACAAGACCTCCCACCCAATGTATATAGTGGTGTTACCTACACCTAGAGACATTATCCCACCCAAAACTTTACAAGGCCTCCAGGCTCCAGGGCCCAGATCAGAACTTTTTAAGTTCTGAGAAAACAAAAAGTTTGATATCTTCATAACAGAATCCCTTACCATGTGTAGGTGTGAAACCTAGATGACATATTTATTACATCCACAACATTATACACTGCCCATAAAAATTAACACTTTTTAATCAGAGTATAGCATCAAGTCAATTAAACTCCTGGGATATTGATCTGGTCAGTTAATCAGTTTCAGTTGCTTTGGTGTTAATGAAATTAACAACAGGTGCACTAGATGGGCAACAATGAGACAATCCCAAAACAGGAATGGTTTTACAGATGGAGGCCACTGAAATTGTTTTCCCTACTCATCTTTTCTGAATGTTTTGTACTACTTTTGCATTTGGCTAGGGTCATTGTCATTACTGGTAGCATGAGGCGATACCGGGACCCTACAGAGGTTACACAGGCAGTCCAACTCCTCCAGGATGGCACATCAATGCGTGCCATTGCCAGAAGGTTTCCTGTGTCTCCTTGCACACTCTGAAGAGCATGAAGGAAATTTCAGGGAACAAGAAGTTACTCTAGGAGAGTTGGACAGGGCCTTAGAAGGTCCTTAACCCATCAGCAGGACCGGTATCTGCTCCTTTGTGCAAGGAGGAACAGGATGAGTACTGCCATAACCCTACAAACTGACCTCCAGCAGGCCACTGGTGTGAATGTCTCTGACCAAACAATCAGAAACAGAATTCATGAGGGTGGCCTGAGGGCCCGACATCCTCTAGTGGGCTCTGGGCTCACTTCCCGGCACCTTAGAGCTTGATTGGCATCCCACCTTCCTCTGTCCCAGGTGTATGTTTTTCCTTACTTAGTAAAGCCAATTAAACTCACCTTATTCCACCCATTCAGGCCCAACCCTGATGCCGTTTCTGCCTCCAGTGCCACACATTATCCCTTTATGGCTGATCCCCTTCAATACCTTCAGTGTTATGTCGGTCAACTGCTGGATCCCTAGAAGACCCCTTCCTAGCCAGTCAATAGGAATTATCTATATCAGTAGGCAGTGACATGGACACCTGAAAGAAGGACTCTTCCAGGAAGTAAACATAGAGAAGGACTAGGTGCCACATGTGACTGCAGCTTAAGTGAAAACAGGGATTTAGAAAGATTTTTTGTTTTTTTAACCCAGTGATTGGGTGGGAGGGGACTTACTTTGATCCTGGAGTTGAGCTTTAAATAAACTTTTACTGAAGGGCTGAGTTTAAACAGATCGAATGTGCAAACATAATAATTGCATACAACAGTCCATGGTTCTCTGAGACATTTACTGTAGTTTACTTGATGGGACATAGGACCAGTCGAAAAATATTATTAATGTAAACTTTCTGCAAAGCTCTGATTGCTCAATAGTTTGCAGAGAAATGCTGGATCTTTAGTTGTTGGCAAAAGATCTGCCCATGTATGTCCAGCATTTCACTTCCAAAAGATCGATAAAATATGTGGTGGTGAAGAACTATGCAGACCTGATTTGTTTAACCATGGTACATAAAGTGTATAATGCACTGTTACTTACTCCTGGGGCTTGCAGCTGCTGGTCCCTACTAAAAACAATTTTGTTAGATTTCTCAAATTCTCTCCAGTAATCAGAACATTCCTTTTTCCGGCATAGGTTATCCTGTTAGGGTATACTGATTTAATCTTGACCTGGGGTGAGAAAGAAAACATTATAAGCTGCAACCCTGGCACCTGAGAAAAAAGTTTGAATTAACACCTTCTCCCCAAGCATATTGAGATAATTCTGTTTTAACGAAATTTCAGCCATATTTGTGTGTGCCTTTTATATGTTGATTCGAATAAAGTGAGAATTCTGGTAAAAATATAAATGTAAAAAAGACAGGTTTTGGCATGTGCAAGTCTGCTGTTGTGCAGGGTGCCATGCACTGCTTTTGAAATGGGCACAGAAGCTCATGGGACCCTCTTGGGGCCATATGAAATTACTTTGCCCCCCACTGTACTTGTCCACTATTCGTCTGCTTAGAAAAAGCTAGAAAGGTCAAAAAAGCTAGAAATTTCTGAGTGGGTGCAAAACTCAATAAAGTTAATATACAGTAGAAGCCAGTATTTTCTACTTGACTAGTAAAGGAATGGCATACAGTATCCAAAATAGTAAGGCCCCTTTTACAAAGGCATTCCGATCAGGTCTGCCTGTCAATTTTTCAGGAGGACCTGATTGGAATGTCCATTCATCCTTATGGATAGTTGGTTGTAAACAGAATTGTGTCCATTTAAACCCACCTAACTCTGGGTCCCATCAGGTCTTAAAAAAAACATACGAAAGGGGACCCTGTCCTCTTCCATTTGGGTAGATCAGATATAGTTGGGTGTAAACAGACAGCAGAATCCAATTACACCCAGCCACTCATACAGAAGTGCTGGCTCTGTCCATGTCCACTCAGTTTCTGCAGTGTCATCCTCCCTGATGTGTCATCTGTCCACTCTGCTCTGATCAGTAGGGGATCAGCTCACAGAACAGAATGGACAGATGAACAAATGGAATCCACCCCCTGTGAAAGGGGCCTAAGAATTTAGATGGCCAGTAAACACATCAATCACACTTTATAGTCAATAAGTAGCAAAAATGTGTATTGATGAAAAGGTATCAAAAGTCAATAATTACATCCTACCTATAGGCATTTAGGTTGCCTCAAATTGCCTAATGCTATACTTAAGTAGGATCAATAAAAGATGGCATAACGCTTAAAGTTTAAGGCGACAACTTTACCGCAGCAGCTGGATGCAAAGTTACAAAATGGTTATGGTTCAGTTACCAGTACATAAGAGAGAGCGCGATGACTGAAGAAAAGCTGGTCATGTAACTCTGACAGGTCACAGCTTGGGCTCTCCTCCCTTCCTTTTTTCCCATTTATTTTTATTGTGCTCCACCAGCTTTGGACACTGCTGTACTGTAAAAATGTACTGAAGCTATCCTCTTTTTATGTCCTGGTGCCACAGGAATCATCTCAGTTTTGACACATTCATCAATGAAACATAACTTGGATTTTAACTTTTAAAACAAGATAAAATGTTTTCGACAAAGAGATGAGCTTCAGAACTGAAACTGTTACAAAACAGAAGTGATACAATTTCTAAATACTTATTACGTCTAAGCAGTATTAGAATTTGAAAAGACAGATCCTTAAAGTGGTTGTAAACCCTTATGTACAAGATCAGATATTATTTCTCAGCTTGAAGGGAGGTGAACATCCAATGCCACCCACTGCACAGCACAGCACAGAACTGAATGTAATCTGAGACCTGAGTGGAGGGACACTCCCCCCTCTACACAGTCTCACAGGGAAACATGCACAGCTGAGGCTATCAATCACCTGCAGTGTGCTGAAGAGGGGGGCAGGGTCATCTTTTGGGATTTCCTGTTTTCACATAAACTGTCAGAAGTGACTCGTGCAGATAGCAGAGAAAGGAGAGAACATCTACCAAAAGCACCATTGTGTTATGGCTCCTTGCCAACAGAATACAATGATCAGTGTTGCCAGTAGTGATGGTCTGAACACCCCTCTGTTCAGTTCTTTGGTCAAACATTTAAACATACTGAAAGTTTGACCACAAATTTCAAACAGGGACAACTTATTAAGCGTTATCTTACTTCATCTGAGTATGCGGTAAGATACTGCTCGGCTACCAAAATACCGCATGACTTTTATTATTAAGTCATGCGGTATTTTAGTAGTGAAAACATTCTTTATAGTTTCATCTGTCGGCGGGGTTCTCCACTGACAGCTGAATGTAAAAAGAACTGTTGGTATTGCCCGACAATTAATTTTTTTTTTTAAAAACAGCATGGGGTCCCCCCCTCCCATCCATACCAAACCCTTCAGACCTGGTATAAATTTTGAGGAGAACCCCCATGCCAAAATTAAAAAAAAAAGAGGAGCGAGCGCCCCCCCCCCCCCCCCCCCTGAACCATATTAGGCCACATGCCCTCAAAATTGGCAGGGTTGCTTTGGGGCAGCACCTTGTCCTCATGTACCGCTACCCATTCACAAAAAAAAAAATGTAGTAAAAATGACAAGAGACAGTCTTTGACAATCCTTTGTTAAAAACAAAAATTTAAACAATGTCCCTTAAAAGTAGATCCAATGTCAGTCATGAAGCCTGTCACCATTGCTGACCCGAAAAAAGAAAAAAAAAACAGCTCTCGACGCTGGCTCCTGCTGTCTGACAGCTGCACTGGAATGAAAGTTCTTAAATACTGTGAGGACAGCACAAGGGGGCAGGATTACCCACGCCCCTTGAGACATCATCATGTGCTGTGATTGGCCAAAGCATTGCACCTGACCTGTGGTGAGGTGCATTTCTTTGGCCAATCACAATGCACTATCATGGCACGGTGTATTGTGGGGCAAACAGCCCGCCGAACATTCTTACCGTTCGTGTGTTCAGCAAACACACGGACGTCCCGTGTTAGACTCAAACTTACGTTAGACTCAAACATGAAGCCCATCTCTAGTTGCCAGTACAGCCAGTGGCACTGATCATTCAGGAACAGCCTAACAGGCTCGTTGTACACAAGTCGATTCATAGATCGATTTGTGTGGAACCAAACTAGGCCATACATGGATCAAAATTTGGCCAGTCCCTGCTGAACCAATTGAACTTTAATCCATGTATGGCTGCCTTAAATGCTTTGGATTGAGGCAAGTACAAACTATAGAAGAATATGCTTTGGTAATTTTTCATTTCAAAGGTTTACAAGCACTTTAAAAATAAAAATATTTACTGTAAACATGCATAGTGATATACAACTCTTGTGCAGCGGTAAAGGAAATAGACATCTGTCTAGAGTTGCCCTGATCTAGGCAAATATCTTATTTTATATAAAATTATATTAAACCTAAAAACAAAAATGTAAAATATTGCAGTTTACCAATTATTAGAGGTGATGGCTGTATTATTTTTCTTTGTTAGACTTTTCTTTCTCCTTTATTTTCACCATATGATCCTGCCAGTAAGTCTCTGTTTTTTCAGCTTCCTTTAACAGACCAAGCTGTCCAGCAAAATGGCAGTTAAAGGGTTGTGACAAAACATTTACCACTAACAGGAGTGCTTGCAATCATCATTCTGTAACATTTTTTATATAAAAAAAGAACAAAAACTGTTGCTGTACCTGCCTAAATGTTTTAGCTAAAGTTCGGGTTTAATTTGTTAGTCATCTTTATCTAAATCTGCTAGTGCATCTAACGCTACCTTCTCCCTGGATCCATGATGCCACTGTCCAAATGTACCTCTAAGGAGACACTCTAAGACAGGAAGTGTGTAACTGGCTGAAACACCAGTTGAAAATAAAGGAATATAAATTCTAAAAAAGACAACTACATTTAACTACACCACATTTAATCGCCTAACTCCCGCCATATAAAAAAATGGCGGGCGCAAGGTGGTTCTCTCATTCTGGGAGGACTTCATATGACGTCCTTCTACTCTAACTGCACGTGCGCACCCCAGAGGGTGCGCAGCGCAGTGATCACTGGTGCGCTGTGTCCCTGATCAGTGCCCTGATAATCAGTGTAGCCCCATCAGTGCCACCTGTCAGTGTCCATCAATGCCACCTGTCATTGCCCATCAATGCCACCTGTCAGTGCCCACCAGTGCACATCAATGCCACATATCAGTGCCTACCAGTGCACATCGATGCCACATATCAGTGCCCATCTGAGCTGCCTTTTAGTGCCAACTATAAATGCCAGTCAGTGCCGCCTATCAGTGCCCATTAGTGCCGCCTATCAGTGCCCGTCAGTGCCACCTAACAGTGCCAGTCAGTGTCGCCTATCAGTGCCTGCCAGTGCCACCTATCAGTGCCTGTCAGTGTCACCTAATAGTTCCAGTCAGTGCTGCCTATCAGTGCCATATATGAGTACTGCCTTTCAGTGCCCATCAGTGATGTCTGTGAATGCCCACTAGTGATGCCTGTCAATGCCCATCAGTGCCTCCTCATCAGCGCCCATCAGTGCAGCCTATCAGTGCCCATCGGTGCAGCCTATCAGTGCCCATCAGTGCAGCCTCATTATTGCACATCAGTGAAGGAGACAAATTACTCATTTGCAAAATTTTATAACAGAAACTAAGAAAAAAGCATTTTGTTTCCAAAATTTTCTGTTGTTTTTGGTTTGTTTATCAAAAACTAAAAAATCCAGTGGTGATTAAATACCACCAAAGGAAAGCTCTATCTGTCTCAAAAAAATGATAAAAATTTCATATGGGTACAGTGTTGCATGACCGCACAACTGTCATTCACAGTGCGACAACGCTAAAAGCTGAAAATTGGCATGGGCAGGAAGGGGGTGAAAGTGCCCGGTAGGCAAGTGGTTAAAGAGTAACTGCACTTTTGATGAGAAAAAAACATTCCCCTCTGGGTGATCTATATACATTTCACCTACATCATTAATACACCCAGTATAGGCAGTGCAATACAAATAAAGTGCTCTAGTGCTATAACATATATACATAAACAATCCAAATAAATAAATAAAAAGTCCTATTCATGGTAGTGAAAACCAAAAACGTGCTGTGAATTCCATAAATAAGTCCACCATATAACCATGTATTAGTCCTTCTTTTCAACTAAACCCCATGTGATTGAATAAACCTTCCACAAGTGTCAACAATTAGCAACCTCCACTCCAGTG